GTAGGTAGAACTCTGTCTACCAGCCCAAAGTATTTCTAAAGCTTATTTCTGCATTATTCGGATAATTTACATTCATGCCACCATCATATTTTTAGGTGACTTAGATTTATGGTTTCCAAAACCTAATCCCTATACTTGGTCTGCAGCATCACAAGAAATAACATAAAAAGGAACTAGGGTAAAATGGTAGAATACAATTACATCTCAGTATGTCAGTCAGAGGTCTCACAATAAAACAATATTATTTATTGAACACGTTTCCTGTACAATCTAATGTAGATAGTCATATCATGGTTTAGATAGTTTTAGTTCTCTTCCCTCCATTGTGGCCTGCAGAAACCTTATCTGGAAGTTTTGGCTATGACTACTGGTAGTAAATTGTACCTAAAACCTTATTCAGTGAATAAGTGTGTTTCGGTGCGTATTACACTTCATAAAATGACTAAATTGGAAAATATCTGCGACTCTAAGGTACATGTCGCTTGAATTTACGCCATTGTTTGATATCTATGGCACTTTTCAGTTTATTGAACAAATTAAATGCATAAATGGTGTTGAAACACCATCTTAAAATAGATCGGGTTGATCATTACAGTGTGGAGGATTTATGCCTTCAGTGATATCATCAGGTATCCAAAGAAGACAACAAATGTGAGGCTAACCGTTTTAACTTTGTGTTTGAATATATTACTTTAACTAAGCTGCATGTAGCCATATTCATACATTAGTGATTTCTAATGTCTACTAATCTCGCACACTGTCTGTCTTCACCAGCACTTTACTTAAGTTTAGACCTTTCCAGATTTCGATAACCATGATAATTCCGCTCAACGTTTTAATTTAGATTGATTTTACTATTTTTCCTTCGGGTTCCTAGTGGAACATAGGGCCTGAGTAGTACGTCTCCATTTCACTTCCTTATCTGTAGTCTTTTCAACCTCGCTCCACGACTGTGAATATCCTTGTGTTTGAACACACTCCCTGACTCCAATCAACAAGTCACCAAATATACTGTGATCTGCCTAGAGTTCTCCAATTTCGTTCATTTCACCGAGTGCTTCTCAACCCATAGATGGTTCTCTTCCTGCGTTGTCTGCTCCTAATTTGACAGTCATATCACCCCACCCATTAGAATTTTAATGTCACCAACTGGGATGCGGTCTTGTCCATTACTGATTGCAGTTGTCTGCAGAATTCCTCCTTCTTCTCTTCATCTCCATCATTTGCAGGTGCATAGTATATCATTGGCATTGTATGATTGTGACTTTCCCTCCTTTTAAGTTGAATCTTGCTGTCATGGTGCTGATCCATAACGAGGAGATCGGTTCCCAATGTATGATAGAGAGCCGTCGATGCTCTTGATCAAGGAACATCATGATAGCCACTCCATAACTCAGTGTGTTCATGGTTGTCTTCTGTGTGACAGTATGGGAGTAGTTCATTAACTCTCCAGTTGACAGTTTGGAGAGTCCAGTTCCATTCCATCTGCTTTCACAGATTCCTAGCACTTCTGTGCTATACCTCCTCATCTCTTTTGCAATGTGGACAGCCTTATTAGCCAGCTTCAAACATAGTGTGGACATTTCATGTCCCCATCACTTTTAAACCTGGAAGTAACCTTCTGAATTAAATTACCATTTGTCACTTTCTTACTGTAATCATATTGACTCCAGACTTCCCATACATCATCGTATTTAGCTAACAAGCCCATCTTAGATTTGATCTATTCAGTAAATCCTGCTTTCCTCATTCTCACGGCTTCCGTACAATTTCTACCAAGAAAAAATCAGTTTCAATAACATTTATGTCATTTACTACTTCAGACATAGGTTTTTGCAACTTACCAGTTGAGCCTCTATCATTTTCTTGATTGTCGCTAATGAATCATCAGTTAATAAACTTAATGAACTCAGTTTCTCTTGAATCAACGAATAACTGGACAAAACTTGTTGCATTTCCATACGAGCTGCCCAAATCTCATGATGAAGCTGTACAGGAAATATGATAAAGCAAAGATAGAAAGGTAATCAAATGATACAGAACATTGCATCCATTTAAGACAAATGTATTTCAGTGTCATATATACCTTTAAGAATTAAGATAATCTTGTCAACTTGAAGAGAGCAAGAACAGCATTATGCTCAGAATTAAATGGATTAGTTTTATTTCGCTAGTTTCCCTCCAGCTTTCTACAACATTCGATCTAACGACATAAAACTACAGACAGAAATTTCATATAATCCAATTAAAATAGAAAAAATTACTGCTAGTAAAACAGAGATGGATCAATAAACTGTGTTCAAAAACCATGGTAAAACATGCAAGGGAAGTTAAAAAAGCATACTCAGATATCACTATCTATACATGCAAAACCTCGTGAATGAAGCTTCACGAAAACCAACAAAAGCAGTGAGATACAGTATCTGACCCGACTACGTAAGTAAGTTAATAGATGGATAAGTTAAAAAGAAGGTGTATCAAGTATACTGGATTAAAACCTTCTTCAGTTAACACCGAATTCAATGTGAACTCAAAGGGTTCAACTGAAGATACTCTAAGTAAATAAGATGGAAAGTTGGGTACTAGGTCATCGAGGTGAAAATGACTAATAATAGTCAGTTTTTTTTTGAAACACAAATCAGTTTTAAGGAGTCCAATAGCTACGGGTTTAATGGGCTACAGAAAATTTAGGTTAATTGCTATTTTGAAAGATTTCAGAATGTTCTCCTGCTGTTTACATAAGTCAGATACTTGACGACTACATAGCTCCAAGCAACATGGAAAAGATCTCTGTCCACTTATGACTATAGTAACAGATGGGTTCTTCACTACACTATTACAGTTGAAGAAAATGCCTTCGGTTAGTGTCTTTTTCAATTCCTTATGGATGATATCTATAATCCCACTTACTTAAACTTGAGAGGGTTCACTTTCAGTCTTTTGGGAACTGCTACCGACAGTTCTTCCACTTTTGATTACTAACTTATATAAATAGTCACTAGCATGTAGGCATTTCTGAATGACTAAGAAGTTTTGCTAAAACTTATCTTCCGAGTGTTTCATTTTCACCCTGATAAATGACATATTAAATAGTGATAGTCTGGGTAGGAAAATGTATTCTACGAAGTATGCTGACATCCAGAGTTATGAATTTGCCACCGTTCTCAAGTTATTCATCACACTAAATATTTGTCTTTTGAAAGCATGAACAAGTAAGACAAATAGTACAAACCTTTGGATAAGATGAAAATATCGAAGGTTTCCTAAAGAAAATTGTTATTTTTCGATCACCGTTTTCAGTTTCTTTTGCTTAATCTCTGTTGATAATTAATATGAATAGTCTAAAGCCACTAATTTCTATCAATAGAAGAAAAGCGAAAAAGACATCCACATTATAAAGTGGAATCAGAAAACGATTTAAGGGTGTACACATATACATACTCTGCCACAGCAGTAAGCTGAATATTCTGCCACAGTATGTTTACGAGTTACAGTGATGTTTTATGGATAAAATATAAGCTAGTTTGAGGTTAATTAAGATTTTTCATTTATCTTAAGGTATTAACTATTACGGACTAACAACAGTTGGAGAACTATTGAAAACCTTTAAGTATGAAACAGCTATTTCATCCTAGTATGGTACTCGTCAGCAGTAAGCACTCACTACCCTACCATAGATTGAACTAACGAACTTCAGGCCTCGTGGCGTACACGCTAACCATCCAGCTATTCATTTGGAGATCTATGGTCCACAATTTCCTAATCCTATCAATCCGTAATCTCATTTCTTTTGAAATTTAGGCAGTCTTGCTAGCTTCAAACTTTGTGCAGACATTCCATGTCCCTATGCTTACTTTTGCTTTCATTGAGATAAGAGAAGATACATCAGCCGATTGGCTTCCCAAAGGCTTTCATCAACCGGTTTCATTACGTCTCCTTGATTTCAGTATGGAATAATTTAAATTCTATTTTTTATATTTTTTTGTGCTTTGAAGTTTGTTAAGCTATTGTATTGGTTCTGTGGGGTAGGGTTGCTAGTCCTATGCCTAATCTCTCTATCCAGGCTTCGGACAGGCCAGTAAACTAGTGAACTTGTAAACCGGATTCAAAATTACGACCGGAACAGGCTGACTGGTTGGCTTCAGGAAGAAGAAATCATGTGAAGATCAAATTGCAGCGCTGCACTACACATCATCATAGAACAGAGCATAGAATGGGAGTCAGCTCTCTACCTCAACTTCATCGACTTTGAAAGGGCCTCCGACAGCGTCGACCAAGAAGTAATTTGACAGCTGTTTCAACACTAATAATTATCATCCATGGTCTTTAGTAAGCTTCCGTCTGACTGCCAGTTGGTTGGCCTCATTGGCGGCGACTTTTCATGATAAATTCAGGACATCTATCTCGCTGCTTGTCACTAATAATAATTACACAGTAAAATATTTTCCTTAGTTCATGATGAATACTCTTTTGAAATAAATAAAAGATCCCTGTGAACGTCTGACCTAACCACTATCTAGTGCTCATTGGTGATAAGCTGCGAGATGGATATCCCGAAGTTATAATGAAAAGTCGTGACCTGTGACGCCAACCAGTTGAAAGTCAAGAGGATGCTTACTGAAAACCTTGGATGGTAGTTGTGATATATCACAAATTGATAGGATTAGGAAGTTGTGGACCAAAGATCTCCAAATGAATAGCTGGATGGTTAGCACTCACGCCACAAGACCTGAAGTTCATGAGTTCGATCCATGGTCGGATAGTCGGTGCATCAGGCTGACTTCAGTTGGTGATGAAAACTGTCTTGAAACTTATTTTTTGTTTCGTATTAATTCTGAGTTTATTTTCTGTTTTAATAAGTCGTAATATAACTGTTCGAGGATAAAAGTGGCAGTTGCAATTAGTTTGGGTTAGGAGTCTGTTCAACGGAGATGGATTAGTCTGATTAGATGACTGTCAGCTCTCAGAAAAACAGTCTTAACTTTGTCTCACTTACACAGCTGTAAGCAGCCAGGTAGTGAGGGTCTTATGGCACCAATATGTTGGGCACAGGATACAGTTCACTAAATGAATTTTTTTGTAGGCAATAGACTGCAGTTTACGAGCTTATTTTGAGTAACCTTTGTAGAAATGTATATATCTCCCGCAAAAAATTATTAAGGCACGGCAGTCATCTAACACTAGTGAGCACACGTTCAATTTTTGTTACCGCGAAAATTCAGGTTACTAGAGAATCACAAATTAATTTATGCCTTAGGGATTAATAAAATAACAAACACCTTGGGTTCCACTTACGAAGTAAATCAACGCTGTCATAGATATCTTTAAAGGTGCATAACTTGTAACATGACAAATCTAATAGGGTTTATCAAACGTGGCTACAGGAAAATTTCTCTCACGATGACAGCAGTAATGAGCATCCACAAAATCAAACTAATGGAAAATCTGGATTTCACTTATACTAATGAACTAACCTTTTCAAAATAAAAGAAGTTGAAAAAAGCTTTATTTAATAAGCATGAGCACAAAGTTACGGAAAAGCTTGCTTAAATCTGCTTTAGTTTAACCTAATGACGCCATATCAACTGAAAGCTGTAGGTTGGCGCTTGTATTTTGAAAGGACCAATAGTTTCTCTTCAACTATGATGGGGATAAAACTGGAGTACCTTTATTTTAATTTTACTGAAAAAGTCACAAAAAAATTACAGTTGATCCATCTTGTTCCACACTTTTCTTCTTTGTTTGCATACAAAAATATTATTATTATTATCGTTATTATGATTATTTGTCCCTTGAGTTTCTAATGGAATAAAGGGCTTCACTAACACGTCTCCAATGCACTCTGTCCTCTGAAATCTTTGGAACCTGGCTCCACAACAGCCCACAAGCTCTCACTTCCTCCTCACACGATCTCCTCCATGTCACCCTCAACTCGGACGCCCGACTCGTCACTTCTCATCGGAGTTCCACTCGACGACCACGCCTGACGCGTGATGTCCCCAGTCCGCCTTCTCAGTGTATGCCCAATCCATCTCCACTTCCTTCCAATGCATATTTGTTGAGCGATAGCTTCTTACTTCGTTGGTTCGTTCCCAGCTACAGTTTCTTGTTGCTTATTCTCATCATTCTGGACATCTGATCTTCAGTAACGAGCCAGCGTAGTGGGCAGTTGTTGATGAATGTGTGTAGTTTGTTGTAAATCCCTTTCGTGACGCGCCAAGTCTCTGAACCATCACACAGAAGCACTGATTTGACGTTGGTGTTGAAAATCCGTATGTTGTTCACGCTTCATGCTGAGTGGAGTGCAGTAGATCTCCACATTGGTTTCAAGTTAATGAAAGCCTGTCTTGCTTTTCCGATTCCGATTCTGACTTTGACATCCTCATCTGTGCCGCCGCCTGTATTTGAAACAGTGCTGCCTAGATAGGTGAAGTAGGCTACTTCCAAATCCAAATCTTCTTTTAGGTTCTTTTCCGTGGTTCAGCATATCCCCCTCTTCTCGCTGCTCACTGTTTGCTGCATGATCCAGTCGACCACAATCAGGAATATCATGGGGGATAGTAGGTGGCAGCCTTGTTTCACTCCCGTCTTCACTTCAAGTGCAAAGGCATCACTGAGCTTGCCATTGTGAATTACTTGGCTGGTATGTGGCGTCTTCATGTAGTTGTTGAATGAGATTGATAAAGGTTTGTGGTAGCGAAACCGTAGTGTTGAATCAACTGCCTGTCAAGTTACTTGTCGGTCGACGCTGTCGAAGGTTGGCCTTCACAAAGTCGTTGAATTTGAGGTAGATTTGAGTTGACTGCTGTTCTGTACTCTGTTCTACGATGATGCATAGCGTTGCAATTTGATCCGCACATGATTTGTACTTCCTGAATCCAACCAGCCAGCCTGTTCCGGTTGTAGTTTTGAATCCAGTGCATCCTTTAGTCTCTCCAAGATGATGCAGCTCAATATTTTGCTTGCTTTGGGTGGACAGGAGCGTGATTCCGCGCCAGTTGTTGTAAACACTGAGGTCTCCCTTCTTCGGGAGTTTGACAAGATAACCCTCCTTACAAACAACCTGCAGGTACTTTCCCTTCCTCGAAAACCTTCTGCAATAGTGGTGTCATGTGAGCATGTCCGCTGATGTCTCTGTGTCTGTTTCCAGTGCTTCTGGCTGGATCCCATGTGGTCCTGCTGCTTTCCCACATTTCAGCAGCTTTATGGCACTCAGAAGTTCCACCTTTGTTGGAGGATTTATGTTCACTTGTAATTCAGCGGCTGTAGGTGGTATTTGTGGACGAAGTGCAGGTGGTGGTGGTGGTCGATCCAAGAGCTTCTTGAATTGGTTAGCCCATCGCTTCCCTTGTTAACTTCTTTGGTAATTATATTTCCGTCATCATCTTTTATTGGCTTCATCTGTGCTGTGTTGATCTCTTCCCTCCCAGAGAGTAACCTGGTTATTTGATACAATGTTGTCAGGTCTCTGCCTCTCCTACCTGCAGCCTGTCCTGCTTCACTTACCAATGTGTCATAGAAGTGTCTTTTGTCTTTCCATACACTCTTCTTCACTTCTTTGTCCAGTGTAATGTTTTTTACATTGTACTCAGTTCCTCTTGTCGTTGAGCATCCTTGCACTGGTTTATCTTCTGCTTCACCATCCTCCTCTTCCTCCCCTATCAGCTTCCATGTGTCCATCGAGATCCATTCCTTATCTTCTTTCTTCTTCCTTCCTAATACGGTTGTGCAAGTTTCCTTCCACATCTCTTTCAAAGACTTCCAATGTTCATCTACACAGGTTTCTCCAGGGATGTTCCTCGATATCTCCCATTTTGTCTTGATGGCTGGCTGCCGTGAAGATTTCCTTTGTAGTTTCGTCCTTCAATTTCCGAGTGTTGTACTTCAACTGTGGTCTATCATTAGCACCCTTGAAGGCTTTTAACTTGATTTGGAAGGTGGGTTGCTTGGACTAGATAGTGACTGGTCTGATCCTACATCTGCTCCTCTTCTTGACCTTGTGTCAAGTAGGCTGTGTGTCCACTTTCTTCACATTGATATGAAATTGATCTGATTTTTAGTGTACTGTGTCCTGGTGTCTGGTGAAATCCATGTCGCTCGCTTTGTGTATATCCTTGTGCTTGAACACACTGCCTGACTCCAATCACCAAATTGTTGAATGCACAGAATTCTGCAAACAATTCTCCATTCTCGTTCATCACCTCACCGAATGCTTCTTGATGCATGAGGAGTTCTCTTCCTGTGTTGTCCCCTCCCAGTTTGGCATTCATGTCACCCCACCCATTAGAATTTTGATATCGCCAACTGAGATGGGGTCCTGTCCAGTGTTGATTGCAGTTGTCTGTAGAGTTCCTCCTTTTTCTCTTGCTCTGCATTAATTGTAGGTGCATAGGGTAGCATTGTATAATTGTGACCTTCCTTCCTTTTGAGTTGAATCTTGCTGTCATGATCCTGATTGTGGAGGAGATTGGTTCCCACTGCATGAGAGAGAGCCTTCGATGCTCTTGATCAAGGGACATCATGATAGCCACACCATAACTCAGTGTGCTGTGCTCGTGGTTGTCGTCTGTGTGACAATATTGGAGTAGATTATTGATTCTCCAGTTGACAGTTTGGAGAGTCCACTCCCATTCCATCTACTTTCGCAAATTCCAAGCACTTCAGTGTGATACCTTCTCATCTCGTTTGCAATCTGGGCTGCCTTGCTGTATTCAAACATGGTACGGACATTCCATGTTTCCACATTAACTTTTGCTTTCATTGAGAGAAGAGGAGATGCATCGGCCAATTGGCTTCCCGAAGGCTTTCACCAACTGGCGTCATTTTGCCTCTCCGACGTCAGCAATGAATAATTTTGTTATTACTTTTAATATGTTGTTTGTGCTTTGAAGTTTCTGTAGTGGTTAGATTTGTTTTACGGGGTGGGGTTGCTAGCTTTATGCCTAACCTTCCCTCTTTACCCCGAGCCTAGGACCGGCTAGTAACTAGTGAACTAGTTAACCAGGCGAGGTTCCATAGATATCATTAAATATGTAAAACTAACCTTGTGGTACTCATGCGACTTGGAAATATGGAAATGAATTGCTTCAGATAATTGGGATATATATTGCCAACACTTGTCTACACTGGCACCGGTATCCTTGAAGTAAAGTTTAAAATAATTAAAAATTAACTTTTAGGTAGTTTTTCGTTTATAATTTGTAACTTCTTGTTGTTCACATTGATAAGCCTCTGTTGGTATGTTTTTACAAATATCTCTTTATTGTATGAGTTTGATTATCACTTTATTTGCTGGATACTACCTAGTATTCGAATCCAGTAGCATAATATTATCCCACTCAGGAAAAGTTAGCTGAATGTGTATGTATCCTCATGTTTAGGTGTTCCAATAGAACAAGCGTCACCGCTTGGGATAATAAATTTCAGTAAGACAAAACATATTTCGCTCGATTACTAATAAGGCTACCTTGTTTTATGAGGATTATAGAAGAACTGATTAACAAGAAAATTGTTTGCCAGAAACAAAGCATATTTCATTCTAGAAGTTTCCCGAAAGCATATTTATCCGACTAACATGATAAATGATCATAAACGTGCATAGTTTTCGATTTCAAAATATAGATCTATAGTGAACTGGGCCAAACTTCTTATTAAACTGGTTTTGGAATGAGGTTGCGCACTTTTGGATTGTCTAGCATCACTTTGGATGTTTGAAAACTATGAGCAGTTTGACCATCAGATATGTTGATTAGTTGATCTAGAAACGTTTTCAGCTAAATAATAACGTTTCATTTGTCCACTCGTAAGAACTTCATCCAGCTTCCTGATCGTAATCAACAAAATTTGTTTGTGGTTGAACAGTTTTGCAAGTTAGTGACGAACTGTAAGGTATGCAACAAAGCTTACAAAAGCTGAATAGCTTTCCAACCAACAAGTTGTAGTACACACAACCGTAATGTTGAAAAGTGCTAAGCTTAGGTAACAAATCGTGAACTCAGCCAATACACCACTAAGCAAACTGAATATTTACACTGTACTCACGAATCCATTTATCTTCAGATGCATGCAAAAAAATGACTATATTTTCACTACTTTTTGAATGGTACAATATTTATTCCCAGGAAAGTGTTCACATACTGCATGAATTCAGGGAAATTCTTACCTTCTCATAAATTCTGTTTGAATGTACCACATTGTTTCGATCACTCAACGTCGTCGCTGCGTTCACGATACTATCTGCCAGTCTCTTGAAGCGTGTTTACAAGACCGAAATGTAAGAAATTAAAAACGGGATAGTTGGCTACATGTAATAAAATCTAACAACAGAATATACTCTAGAAGTTGTTTGGAAGCAATAAAAATCCTCTGTTTGGTAATAATAGTGGCTAGCAGTTGAATCCAAAATGCATGATCCATCCGACTTAAGATTTATCAGCCTTATTTTCCTGCACCATAGTGAATGACGTAGTTCCCATGGATACTTAAACTAAGCACCCATCTGTCCAAAAGCCATACCTTTATCCATTAGATTACTAATTTATTCATAATAACCACTCCTTGTGAGGAGGAAATAGTTCTAGTGTAATCGCCTGTAATTTCTAGTCGCTGAATGGAACTAACTGAACAGTCACTATTGATATTCAGGACTGTGTGCAGATGACTCAATATTGCATATAATTTCCGGCCGATAATAAAGATGGATAGTGGCTAGCATTTGAACCAAAGATGCGTGTTTGGGCTAATTAGGACTCATCAGCTGAATGTACTTGTTTCATATTGAGACAAATGTGCAAGACCCCATATTCTAGTTGTGCACTATCAATTTGGTTCATTCAACGAGGTAAACTATAAGCCAAATAGATAAAACTCTCATATGTTTTGGTTTTAAGATACAATGAGTTTAATGCTTTCAAAGTATAACCCAATTTATATACTCCAGTTGTGTAATTTAGATGAAACAGATCTTGCTTAAAGTTAGGTAAACTACCTAATGGAAGGAAGAACAATAGAGTGGTTGAATTCTTGTGTCGAAATTAACTCTATTTTACCAGTATATCTGTTTTTTATGCAGTAACGTTTGAACAGTCGAATAACAACAACGGATCAATTTGAAATGACTCGTTTGAAGATAAAAGTAAAAGGTGTCAAGTGTAGTAATTAAATGAACAGAGCATATTTTCGTTGATGATTTCCCTATCAATCAAAGCGCTTTATAACTCCGGATTGTTAAAGTAAATTATTCAATCACTTCGTTTGAGGACCCATGTAACGAATGCCAATATTCAAAGTTAAGGCTGCTTCTCAGTTTTTTTTGTAGATATTTCTTCGTGTTAACGGTTCCAAGGCTTTCTACCAGTTATCTTCAGCCACCTGATATAAATTAAAACCCATTTTAGTAGCTAGTTCCTTAGTTTGGCAACCCTACGGTGGTTTTGAACGATGAAATTCGGCCAATACTTCACACCAGGCAACATGACTATAGTTATTCTTTAATCACCAATTAGTTTTAAGTTAGTTTTCAGGCTGACAAATAGCAATACATTTGAAACTTTGCACACTGTATACAGCGTAAAAGTTTCACATTCAAAACACTCCACCTACATGGGAGTGATATAACTATAAAAGTCAAGCTTAGAACAAAAAATCAGTTTTAAGAGCATATATGAAGTCTAATAAACAAAACTTACAGTAAAATCACGTTCCAACCCCGAGATTCCTTGTAAGTAGTCCAATATCTCAATGTTTCCTTCAGTATACTCCTGTGTTCAACCAGATGACATTCATACAAAGATTATGTTATTTTCTGCTGAGAATAGCCTAGTTATTGTCTGCATACTCAGATACGTCTACTCATGATAACAAAAGTTTTAATTTTTCTAGAATACCTTACTGAAAATTGGAAAAATATCTTCTCGATGAATGCAAGAAAAAGGAGATTATGGTCCAGGTAATTGGTGTACGTAAAAAGGTTAAATTTGTCAAGTACCATCCTGAAAGCAAAGTTCAACTTAAATTAATAAAACACTTGTTAAGTAATGCACTGAGTCCTCAGTTGACGCTCAACGTATTTGAAAGCTTTACTGCTTTATTTTGCATACACTATTAGTTCCGCCTTATCTAACTAGATAAGTTCTGTTTATTTTTCGATAGTGTTTTGTAGCGAAATATATTGCTCCTTTTGGCAATCCTGAAGAATTGAGTCTTTTTACTTATCTTTCTTGTTAGCACCGATAAGTAAGGTTGGGTGTTGACCAGTAAAGTACACATACATACCGCATTCAATAAGACTAAATAATGCAATATGGAAAGCGTTTGTAGAATAAGTTAATGTCGCTTCATTTCGCAGAATTTTCATCGGCTGCATACAAACTTTATGGTACGTCTTAGAATGTCAGCTAGTGTTTTGAATGTTAAAAAAAATAATAACAATCCAAAATAATCAGTATGTCTGAGTTTTAAATCTAGTCTAACTAGATAAGTGCTGCATATGGTGAGGTTAGAAATATTCGTGAATGACTGAGATTAGTCAGTTGAGAATAATTCACAGGAAGCCCTGAACCTTGGTGTCTTATTGGCACTCGTCATCAAAACATGTATACAAACTCGAAAGAAACGGGAGCCCACATCATCCAGTGTTCCTGTCAACCACATTACATTGGGCATTTCAGACGCTAACCGAGATACAATTAGCAATAAATAAAAACAGTAAAGTAATAAACTGAAAATATTATCTAAATAAATTGAGAAGGGGGTGAGATCAGATTATCTCAATAATAAAAAAAAACTGTAATAAGCGGTAAACAATAGGAATACGGGTAGGAATAGGCATAAAATGACAATATTAGGAAAAACTTTTAGAAAGGTGAAAGAGTGAAAAGTCACTAGTTACCAGACCAAAAATAAGTTGATACCTGTCTCCTCTTAAATATACAGAAATAATTTACACTAAAACAGTAACTGCTTTTCATCGTGTTGCTATGCAAAAGAAATTTCTGACATACAGTGAGAAACGTCTCGTAGATGCATGCGTCCTATGCGTCCATTCATAAATCATCTCATGACTAATTTAAAACACAAAATAAGATTGATCAAAAAACAGCCAACCTTATACAGACGTTTGAAGTGAAGTTTGAATACCCTTTTTCCTTTAAGATGTAAAAGGAATCTTAAGGATTATTGTAAAGCATATTGTGGGGATAAATTTTTAAATAAAATTCATCACTGGTTTTGGCAGATACCGCGTTCTCTGAAAGGTCAGGTCTTAGTGTTCTACCAGCGAAAGCAGACTGACAGTCCTGATCTTTATTGAACTGACAAAAAAATATCAAATCTGTAGGGATTAATGTTAAAATATAAAATAATCATACATGAAGGTGACTTCTCAAGTGAAAATTTAGTGGTCTGTCGAGCGAAAGTTTCAGACTTTAAGTGAAGTTCCTGAAATTGAGTCTCTCTTATTGAATGGTGTATAGCAAAAGTCCAACCTTTATAACGCTACGCACTATTTGAATCACTGATTCAGAAATCGAAATCACCAGATTTTTAATTGCAGACAAGCAAAAGAAGATAGAGAGAGAATCTAAAGGATACCCTAGCGACGACTGAAATAGCCAGTTAGGTTTTGTACTTCCTTTGGAAAGGTAGATTTTCATGACAGGAAGAACTCTAATTGCTCCTTATATTTTTTGTTATGGTGACCTTTAGAGTCAGTCGATGATACAATAATACAAGCACTAAACTTAGATTGTCGCTTCTCTGTAGATACTGAAAGCATTTTTTAATGCTTGTCCAATGACAACCATTACGAATGCATGAAGACTATTCAACAAACTAATTGCAAACATTTATTTAGTACCCAACAAGCTTAGGATTTTACCATTACATATGCTTAATCACCTCACCAGGAACTATGGACAACTTTATTGAACACGACATTCATTAGTTTGCAAAAGCTACTATTTCACCTCCACTCAGATGCACAATTTCCTTCTATTAAAATAAATACAAACTTTTGACCCTAACTGCCTAGTAAAATGAAAACTGTAACCATACTCAAAGGTTAGCTCATTATCATTAGTAATTACTGTATTACACCTTACTGCTGCAACACTTAATACTGAGTCAAGCCATGGTGGCCAATAATTTTAGAATTCGTTTCAGTAGTACGACATTCTGTTTATTTAGCACTCTAGAAGTAGAAAATTCACTATCAATTCAAATCATCCATAAACATAATAAACAGGCTTGATGTTGGAATAATCTGTGCTGTTTGTGTTCAAGAACATCCAAGATTACGAAAGCAGAAACCTATATGGCATTGACGAATCTTATCACTGCCTAAGTAAACTGCTTAAAAGTGAACAATAATTAAAGGAGTAAAGTTTAAGACTGGCGTGATATACCTTGTTGTCAATATGTGAATCGTTCGCCACACCACGATAAGGTTATAGTCCTCTGGTACCGAATAGCCAAATGCAACTTTAAGATATCACCCTATACTATATATAGGATCTAGGGCTTGGTACTTGTAGATCAAGTTGAAATTCATAGACTATAGTATACTGATTTTTATCCAATGACCTTTGTCCATTAGCTCTAAGAGGTGATCCTCGATAGCGTCATTTGTGTCCTCTTTACATTCAATTCACAAAACTTGAAAGCCTACATCCCATAAGTTTAACTGCATGTGACTTCCAAGGTGTAGAATTTGCAAAATGTCTTAAACTAGGGAGATAAAATCATTGGCATTTGGAGTATATTCCAGCTACAAAATTTATCGACACAAACGTGCCTTCCACCTAGTCAACTTCTCATTGCCTACTGGTATGAGCTAGATTTTTCCTTTGCAAACTTAATATAAAGACTCTTCAACCACCACTAAACGTATCTTAACAGGTAATATTGAAGAGACAGTAGACAACTCGGCGAGAGAATATTTATTACGTACAATCGGAATGGTAATGGTTACATTTGGTACTCCTTGCACTAACGCAGCCATTTGCAAATGTCTTCGTTTCCTCTCCGTTCCTGTCTGGATTTGCTCTTCACTGGCTCTTTATTCACTCTTATCAGCAGCATCCCTTGTAATACTCCTGTGTTGTCCCCCGCGTTGCTCTTGGCAGAAACCTTACCCACTGCCGCCAATTCCTTATGTTTTCTGCCACCCTCTCGATATATACTACTTATATCCGTTGTTATCAGCAACGCCCACTACAATATAATGCATCTTAAAATTTTTATATTGGTTCGAAAATTATTTCTTTATCAATAAATCCACACTAGCATTTTCTCAGCCTTCAAAAAGGTCATCCTAAATAGAAATTTTAAAAAACAACTAAATAAATACTAAGTTCATTGGACTTCGGATGAATCTACAAGATCCTAGGATAGTTTTCACCATTGTTTCAAATCAGGGTTGGAATAGCGGACGATTAGAAATCATCGGCAAACTGTTTCGCCCTATGTTAGAACTTCTCAATACTCTTATTTTCTCCAACAGTATTCACTAGTCCTAATCAATTTACCATCTGACAACAGTCTGAAATTATAAGCATGTTTCTTCAGAACATATTTGAGCATCCAGTGGTTGGTCCTCTTCTTGAAAGCTAATACTCGGACTGAGAAGAGTTTATTGAACCTAGTACCAAACATTATACTGTGAAGCGAATGAAATTGGGCCATGTGAAAAATGATTTTTTGTTCTCTTGCTAAAAGGTAACTTCATTCTACAAGAAATAAGGAAACTGTATTGCTAAGATGTTTTTGCCCAGCTTAAAACAATTCACAAAGCAGCTTCAGTCTGCTATTCGTTTCGAAAACGTCTTGTTGGTTTACTTTGTCGCCTAATACTATGGAAACAATATGGTCGATCAGAGATATAAATCATTCAAGAGCATTTGATAGAAATACTTTGAGCTAGTTTTTCATGGAGCTTAACTCTTTTTTACCAGATATAAAGAGTCAGTCTACTTGAAGCCTCTCTCCACCTAGATTATTCGCATTTTGGCATCTAGCAGCTTGACGAAAATCACATCTCTTTGAGTATTAGGATACGCGTTGTTCAGTACTGAAGTCACAGACTTCATGATTAGTCTGTTCAGGGCTTCCGGCACACCTTCGCTTTCCATCTAACACAAAATTACGAAACACTGCAGTATTTTGTCACTTAGTCTTTTGTTTCCATTGTGAATGCGGTTGACAAACCTCATTCACTGCTGAGCACTCAAGAATTAACAACCATGACGATTATCTCCTGGTGATGAATAAGAGCAATACACTACTTTCCTTTAATATACAAAAGGAAACGTTTCAGCCTACAGTTAGTACTGTCAACTTAAAAACTGTTCCCCCATTTCGTGCACATTATATTTAACAATTTTTTGGAAATGAGACCAATTCTAGAATATGACTAAAGTGCGTGCATTCTCCTATTGACGTCACAAAATTGATGGTTATGTCGTGAAGTGAAAAACTCACCTTCAACATTGTTGTTCTTTCTTCTATGCCGTCTTGTTCTGACCCATCCTAATGAAAACACAAATGAAAGATTTCAGTAAATGAAACAAATTTGACTCAAAACAATAATAAATGATGACTTTAAGATGGATGACGACATCATTAATGACTTCACTTAAAGGGGTTTTACATTATTGGCAGTCAGTTATTTCAAGAAAATATGTTAACACTAAAATTCACCTGTATAACGTTTAAATCATGCAGCAAGAACGTGAAACGTCTATGTAACGTGATTTGTGTAAGACAATGGTCATGGTTAAGTGATAATTTCTGTAATGATGTAGTAGTTAGGAATAGGAAACATTGTTGCCTTTTGGGGTAAAAGTGAATTTGCATAGTGTTTTCAAGTTTTACCACAGTCTACCCTCTTCTAAGATAAATTATTTGTGACATTGTTGTATATCTTTTCATCCAGAGATGACTATAGTTATTCAAGATACTAATGATACAATGCATTATTAACTGTTTGAAAAATAGTAATCCTAATGGTCATGTAAAAAACCCCGCCCAATGAATTCACCAATATATGTTAATTTTCTATAAATGGGTACGGTTAATCTTTTGATGACAAACGTATATGTGAAATCTATTCACCGATATAATGTGCGGTGTCGAAAAAAACCTTTAGCAAGAAGGTTTGACTGTTTTCTCATTACCACCCGTTCAAAATCAATTTTCATATGTTATTTAACCCTTATTCTTGGTGTCTAGACGTATTTCCATGTTAAGGGAAATCAAGTGACTTGATGACTGTTTTCAGCAAGAATCGATATCTGATAAGAAACTATTAGAAAATCAGAAGTCACAAGATGAGTAAGGATGCATAGACTATTTGAATCACACTCACTGACTGGAGAGCAACTTGCTTGCGATAAGGTCTATGAGTCTGCAGCTCAGGTGTACATGTGGTGATCGACAAATACGTATAAACAGTCACACAATGAGCAGTAAAACACCCATCTTGTTTTTCTTGTCTGGTGTCAACATTTTGTGAGAAAGTTAAGAGAAAGCAACACTATGAAGATCATTCACTGAAATACAAATATCGTCTATCATTTCAAAGTCATAACTTTAGTTTATCTTGTGACTTAGCATCAAACCACATCAGTTTCTGTTCGCCATAAGAGCTAGCCACATCTCTTATAATTTTACGGATAAACAATAACAGTTGAATGCAGTTAACGAGCACCCAATCAAGAAAACATCAAATATGAGAATGTTAAATACAAAGAAGATAGGCAGTAAATTGTTTGACGGTAGTCAGTAGAAAGTCATAAACCCAGATATAAAGTTTGCCATTTGTCATTGACAAATAGCCTGCCCAACTTTTAAGAAATTCATACTTTCTTAGGAATTTGAAGTCGCTTCTCTCAACTTCAGCTGTACAGGTTTCACCGGGGAAGAAAACATTTTCCAAAAGAATGAAACAGAGTTCCACACAAAGTGCGCATCTACCAGACTTACCTTGATATCATGAGTGAACATATCTAGACAAATATCGCGCAACTTTTCACTGTGAATCCGTTTATTTTGAAGCGATGAATAGTGGACATCCCGTTGAGAGGTTCCAACAAGGGTATCCTATTATCGATTAAATATGTTATAGACAATAAATAGTATGTAAATACGTGGACTAAGTTTCGTGCATAAAAATTCAGTATATACTCAATAGCCTTTCATTATATTTGCAGGGTAACTCAGTAATGTTTGAGATCATAACTCACCCTTTTATATCTGTTTGAATACCTTATCCTATATCTTAACATTTGATAGAAATGTATACTAAATTCACTACTGAACAGTGTGAGTATTGAGAAACCACTGACACTCCCTTTTAACCTTAAGTAGCGAGATTACTGTGATGTCGGTACCAAAAGTTATTTTAGAGTTTCGTTGCCAACCTCATCAACAGCATATTCGGATCGATAAATAAATTAGCGTCAGAGCATGCACAGAGCTTTATCAATTCGCACTGACACAATTTAAAATAGTAAATAAAGACAGAGCGAACGGAAACCATGATAATTGTGTAGGCGAAGCGTCTATAAACGACAAAAGAACAAAGCAGACAAAGTCGAAAAGTTTATAATTTAAACTGAGGGTTTGTATGAATTTGTTGGTTTTAAGATAGTTTAGAATTTTGACAGCCACATTTGTGCCACTGTGATATATATTTATTCATGTCATCAAGCGTTATGAGTGGCTGATTTCTAGCGTATATGTAAACAAAAAATATGACCATATTAAATACAGACACTAGAGGAGCTGAGTTGCTATTCTTAAATGAACTCAATATAAAGATGGCTTAGTGAAAGTGGTTTCTTACACCCTTTGAAGTTACCTAAAGCGCTTCGTTTGTCATCAACACTTTCGTAACAAAGATCAAAAACTATGCTCTTGACTAGGTGATTTCCAACACAACCCTGTTGATACAACAACTCTGTAGTTGAAAACTACTTCGTGTTGAGCAGTGGACAGTTCAATTCATAAATAATCTTCCAATAAAACTCAGACTTACTCTAAAATTTGAGTTATTAATGTTCAGTGTTAAAAAAACACTCTATGGTGACACACTGTCACCACTCTTCCCAATTTGAACAGAATACAGTCATTTGGCTGCGTGTGTGTGTATACTGCTTACTTGTGATATTCTCTCCTAACTTCAGGGAACTGATCCCAGTAACCTTCAAGGAGGTTTAATTATCATTATATTAAAAATATCTGTCAACTTCATTTTGCAATGACCAGCGTGTACATGTTCCGAAAGATAAACAACAAGAAAAACAAAGTCCCGATCTCTTGTTAATATATTATTCGAGTGCAACCTTTTTGCATGAAATAGATTTTCATAAACAGAAAATTATTTCTTGTTTAAATCAAACGGCATTTTGAGTAAGCAACTTGTATGAGCAGCAAAAGCATCAGGGTATCAGCTTATCGTGAATACCTAACTGAAAAGAAATATTTCCAAACTCAATTCGTCTTTTACTTTCAATGTGTAAGCGTGAATCTTTAATATTTTCTGGAATCACTGTTGTTGTTGTTGCTGTTTATCAACACCAAACGAGTTTGATGACAGTGACTCAACATCGATGTCGGATTTTGAAAAATTGTACCAATATTTCACCAAAGTACTATCATGTTCTCCGACTCATATCGGTCTGCGACGCATGTTATCTCTAAATCAGTTAGTTCGTACAAACTTTCAAACAATATATACACCAGTATACGGAAACAGGTCATTCAAGTCACTGATAAAGAAAGAGAACAGAAGGTAGTTAGAACAGCGCAATGAGGCACACTATTTTCACTTCGTTATAAGGTAGAGTGCTTCTCTGTGATAAAAATAAGAAGGAAGCCAGCTTACATCCAGGACCTAGCATGTGTTCTAGCGAGCTTCTTCAACAAGAGAGGTCTAGAGATTGAATCAAAACAGGAGCATAATCTAAAAATATAGACTTAACGTATTTAACACCTTAGTCCAGATCGAAGACAAAACTCTGATACAAAACACTTGAAGTATATAAAGTACTGCCTCTGAAATGTAATCACTGAAAGTCTGACGCGAAAGTGCAAGCAAAAGTAGTAACAATTCTCGCATTGTTTTTTTCAAGTTGCCAGGTTATACAAGTGGGCCTTAATTTCACATTTGCTTCCAAGGATATGCCTTTGATACACTGGCTACTTAAATTTCATTCTAAGCGGTCAGTATATTATGCTTTGGAAAGAACTCACTTAAACTTTCCGCTTATGAATGACACATAACGACAGCATATTTACCAAAAAGAATACCTTATCTTAAGCTATATTGGGTTTGAAATGTATCTGCTTTATTGCTCTTGTGAAAACTTTCTCTGGTTATTTTTGAAGAACTACAGATAATAGCATTAGCAAGTGTGCGTCTGAATGACTTCTTTAGTATGTAGACATTTAATCAAATATCATTACCGAGCTGTTTTCCACCTCTAAACAGCTTTCACACATTAAAAGGGCTTTTATATTATATGCTCTTTCTGTTGAATATTAGGTTAACATGTGTTCATTGTTAAACGTTGTCTTTTTCTGTCCGTAGCTTCTTCAGCTGAGAAGAAAGTTTATTAAACCTTCAAAACCGTGTTTCAGCTGGGCAATAAATATCAACGTAAAATTTGAGATCACATATAATAATATTCACAGTGTCATCTTACATGTTATTTACAAAATGTCTCAGTCTACATTTTGCAACAAGCTTTGGGGTTGGAGTATATTGTCTTATGCAAGGCTTCTCTGCGTAGTTTTCTCAAATAGACACATAAAAGCATTTCTGTGTAACACACTTTGGTCCGAAAAATATATAATACTGGTCTCAGTTCACTGATACTTCTTATTTCTGAGTTTAATATATACTGAGTTCATCACCAAAGACCACATCTAGTGTGGCCTTTAGAGCACGTTAACACACACTGTGATATTTCTTCCTTTTTCTTTTGATAAATACATGACGAAAAGTTGATAATTTTCCAAAAAATTGTCTAGTATTTAATTAGATTTAAGTAGGTGTTTGAATAATTAAAGAAAAGAAAAATAAGATAAAACATACAGTATGTGAGATGAAACTTTTTAGTAGCTCAGAGACTTGCGCAGGCTGTCTTACTGTGTACATTCCAAAAAGTCTAAAATTGGACGGTTTGCAGCCACTCAAAATTGTACTATCTCCCTTCTAGTTAACTCTAAATCAACAAACTGTGTCACTATCATTCGTGTCATCAATAATCTTCAGTTAATTTTGTTTGGTGTATCTATATTTTCTACTATACACAATAACTTTTTTCTGACAAAAAAGTATATTTCTGATTTCATTCCCTAACAATTTTGTGATTATTTTATACTGGTTGCAGCTGAGGAAGGAACTTGAAATAAGCCGAATTTATTTCGCAAATTTCGTTCTTTTTGATTTGGTGAATACCTAAGAGTAATCAACGGAAACGTTTGTTAGAATTTAACCGGACAATTTCGCATATATTTGATGTCAAGTAGAAAGTTGATGTTAAATATGCGTTATAGTTTTTAAAATTTAGGTGTTTAAAATCAGATAATTCTTAGCCCTCTGATATTTGTCCAAATTTAACCTATACCTAACTGTTTAATTTTGGTTTTCATCATATAATCTTATCGAAATATAAAAAGCTGAAAATTATCAAACACTGATGGTCATTCCCCTATAAATCACTCAACTGAGCAGTACTTCTGTGCCAATGAGTAAATTACTTTGAGGCAGATTTTCCAAAGTTCCAGTAAGGAATCAGAATCTTCAAAGCTGTGTTAGATTTGCTAGCAGTTATCCATTTATGATATTACATGATGACTATGCAATACTGAAAATTGAAAGAATTCGGGAAATATTGTCAACTGTACATTAAATGGTCACTAGAGAGTAGCTAATTTCATGTTATCTAGTCCTGATTACTGACTAAAGTCTATCGACCATTGGCAACTGGCATGACTGTATGACAGTTGCCTCTAACCAACTAAAATGGACAATTGTATTCTAATACACTTGTTGGATAGCAACATATTACCTTCGTAAACTGACAGCAGTTGGCTCTATTGTAAACAGAACTGTAACTGCACGTTCCTGAGAAAATTTTAAACTATGGAAGATGACCCATGTAGTTTGCCTTGACTTTCAATGACTCTGTAGCCAGCCTCAATTCCTTTCCTGAAATCAACCAGTTGAAGGTACATCACTTGTTCAAGATGATTTCACTTCATTTTTCGCAAATCTGCTTGTTTTCAGTCGATTTGAAATTGTCCAAAAAACTGATGTATGGAATTACCATTTCATCATTTCCAAATAAAAGAAATCTGACGAATATCCAGTCATCCTTGTTTTAAACTAAATATTCTGAGATTGTCAAGATTATTTTTAAAATATGTTTAATTCAACATGGTGATATGCTAATTTTCACTTTCCTATTTTGAAAAACTAGTGTGAGAAGAAAATCTGTTTCTAATCCGCCATCAGTTACAAAGATTCTTTCTTTACATGAAATATTTTCATTTCTACCTGTAAACTCTCACGTTTTTTCACCCTTTTTCAATAAACTGAGTTTTAATGCTCAATTCGATGACTCACTTCACCGCAAACAAACTTTGTATGCAGACTTCTTATTCATTCGTTCAAACAAAAAGCTTAACATCATGGATACAAAAACAAAATTATTAGCATATTTTCAAAAAGCAACACTTTGAGATGGAATGTCAAGCTGAATTTGAACATCTAATGCTCGAAACTTTTCACACCCCTCCCTAATAGAAAACTGAACAAAGATAGATCAACACACATTTTCATCTCATGGATTCTCCTCACTTACAGACAACATGAGCAACGTCAAAATAAGTTCATTAGGAAACAAGTTCACAGATCAGATCAGTCGTCATTGTTTTATAATAATGTAAGCCCTCTTGAAGTGGGATAAGATGCGATAAGAAAACTGAAGACCATT